TCCTAGAAACCTCTCAGTATTTCACACTATACTCGTACTTATTAGTTAATAAATACTACCCTTAAACCAATATCCCATGCAAGTCAACGCTGTAAACTCGTTTTCTACCACTTAATCTACCGATGTATACCGACGTTTAATTCTGAAGTACCAATGAAGTGTATTGTTATGTATCGGTAAACAATGTTAACATTATTTAAACTATTTTCATTAATGTAATTTTAACCTTGATTTTATCATATGTGAATCATTCGCACAAAAGCGATGTAGCGGAAGTAATTGCGCTTAATATACAATGCTTTCGAAAAGTCACGAATAAATTCATTATTTTTTAAATTGAGAAGTTTTCAAAAAAATCCCCTGGCACGTCGATTTTGTTTTTAAAAAAGGCACTTTTTGACATACGACCCATATTTGTGACGTCATCGTTGTTCGAGATATGACGTCATCGACAATTTTTTTAAATAGCAACCCCCAATTTTGACCATGCCATTTGCAAGAACGTGTCATTCTACATACACAGATCATGAAAAATTATGGTGTTACATAACAAAAATTTCAAGAAAATAATGTTTGAAGATTTTAAAATTTAATTTTCACAATACTGAAAATGATAATGATTATGTAAAAATCGACTAAATTAAATGTTCAAATTGTGCACCGTTGGCTGCCTGACAGTAGCCAAGACGATTAATAAATTCTTTTTGGACATTATCAATAACTTCAGGAGGTATACGATGTATCTCGTGACGAATTCTTGCTTTTAAATCTTCTAAATTAACCGGTCTAGTAACGTATACTTTGCTTTTTAAGTATCCCCACAAGAAATAATCTAGGGGTGTCAAATCAGGCGATCTGGCTGGCCACTCAATCGGCCCCCTTCTCCCTATCCAACGATTCGGGAACAGCTCATCTAAATAAGCACGGACAGGTGTTGCATAATGGGGAGGTGCACCATTTAGTCGATTTTTACATAATCATTATCATTTTCAGTATTGTGAAAATTAAATTTTAAAATCTTCAAACATTATTTTCTTGAAATTTATGTTATGTAAGACCATAATTTTTCATGATCTGTGTATGTAGAATGACACGCTCTTTCAAATGGCATGGTCAAAATTGGGGGTTGCTATTTAAAAAAATTATCGATGACGTCATATCTCGAACAACGATGACGTCACAAATATGGGTCGTATGTCAAAAAGTGCCTTTTTTAAAAACAAAATCGACCTGCCAGGGGATTTTTTCGAAAACTTCTCAATTTAAAAAATAATGAACTTATTCGTTACTTTTCGAAAGCACTGTATAAGAAGACACCACATAGTTTTATTGAGAATAAGTCTTTTACAAGTCAGAATTATTTTACAGTTTCAAAAGTTTATCTTTTACGTGTTGCTGCTGGGTATCTGTGATATGCAATGTACAGAGTTCATATTAATAAGCAAATATTTGTATATAGTAGTTTACTGCGCTTATATTTTAAAGTGAACATATTTAAACACATAGTAAGATTAATTTATAATGTCTATTTTTAATATGATTATGTCTAGGAAATATGTTACTGTTAATTTTATCCCACATGTTTTGAAAATATTCAGTTATTATGAAGATCCTGCAAACATATATGCAGTTTGAATGCACTTATATTTTTCATAATAATATTGAATACTTCAACGACATATAAAAATCGTCTAAGGATATCAAAACGGTTAATTACCTAAATAGATATTTTTAATGCTTATCATTCGCTACGTGCAACATACTTGAATTTTATTATTCTCATATTCACTAATTGTTAAGGGAATGATATTAATATTAAGACACAATGTTTTAGTCATGTTGCTAGAACTATTTCATTATCTTAAATTTCTATTTTACATGATTACGACTTGAACATTTCAATTCAACTTTAACACCAAGACGTGTTAAAGTTGAATTGACACTAAAATACAAAGATATAGTTTTAAACATAAAATAGACGCATTGTAATGTAGAGAGTGGTTGAAGAAGGAAAGGGAAGCATTTCAACACTCTTTATCAAACGAATTACATACGTACAGGGTAGGAAAGTACCGATGGTCTATCTGAAGTCACGTGAGAGCGATAAAGTAAGCCATAGAAATCCATGCAATAGAGAAGGATGGCTATAATGAAGGCCTCTCATAGTCACCGCCCGTTTCGCCCTTCCGCAAATAAGATCCACTTCTTATTTGTGGAAGGGCGAAATGGGCGTTGTCTATTAGACGCCTTCATTATAGCCGTCCTTGTCTATTGCATGGATTTCTATGGCTTACTTTATCGCTCTCACGTAACTTCTGATAGACCATCGCTACTTTCCTACACTGTATACATGGGTATACAGGGTGTTTTTAAATGAAGTAGCAAAAATAGTACCAGTGAATGTAAAGCCAAAAATAAGAGGATTGAAGTAAAAATACCTTATTTGAGAGTTGCACCCCTGAGGCGATATACCCTCTTAAAGGAGGGGGTTGAAATTTACATTCTAATATTTTTCTTTAACATGAGGAATGCTAGAGACACGAAACTTGGTATGAGCATCCTACTAATAAAGAAACATCTTTTCAATATTTTTTCGATCATTGGCGTATTTTATAAAGGAGTGAGACAGTCAACCCCATTGCAATATTTTATTAGAAATTTTTTATATGAAGCAAATTATTTATTTAAAAATATTTATTGGGAAGACTGATTTATTGCGCAACTTTTTTACCTCTTGTAATTTTTCGATAAAACCGATAGTTTTCTAGTAAAAAAATTAGATGCGTCATCGTTTCCTAAAGGGGTAATTGCGAAAATTTGTAAAAATAAAGTAGGCGGATGTCATAACAAATAAATTGTTATTTATCATATTAATAAATTGACACTTTATGTCAATGAGCTGGTAATTTAATAATAACATTAAGAATAATTTGCTATTAATTAATGGAAAATGTTTGATAACTTATGACTATGGGACGTGTATTATGTAAAGTTATTTATCTGAAATAAAATTTAATACAAACGAAAAAAAAAGAAATGCAAAATCAAATTTAAAGAATAGTCTCGAAATAATTTCCATTTTGCTGCAAGCGTAACCTAATACGTCTGTTGAAGTTATAACGCACTCGCACAAACAGTTCTTGGTTATTGTGAAGGTCATCTGCTGCCTGAAATATTCTTAAGCGTAGTTCTTCTACAGGCAACAGGGGTGGCATAAACAATACTTTTTATGTGTCTCCATAAAAAGAAATCCATAGGCGTTAGGTCAGGTGAACGTGCAGGCCAACAAACAGGTGCATCACGACCACGACCAATCCAGCGATTTGGGTAATTTAAATTTAACCATTTTCTAACGGCAAGTGTACTATGTGCAGGCGCCCCATCGTGCATATACCAAATCACTTAACGTGTAGCGAGGGGTACATCCTCAAGTAATGTTGGAAGATTTTCGTTCAAAAATCTAAGATACTCGGCCGCTCCGTGCCTGTGTGGAAGAATAAAAGGACCCACTAGAGTATTTCCTACAATTCCCCTCCAAACGTCTAAACTGAATTATGCTGACATCTTGAAACAAATATTTCATGAGTATTTTCTTCCGACCATGAATGAACATTTTGAAGGTTTACTGCACCTACTCTAGGAAAAGTTTCATCGGTGAAAAGTATATTCATTAAGAAATTTAAGTCATGCCTAGAAATATTAATGTACCATTGACAAAAATCCACGCGGTTAGGTAAATCAATTCTTGCACGGGTTAATGGTGAAAAGCATGTACAAGATTTTCATGAGCTACATTCCACAAAGTGTCAATTTATTAATATGATAAATAACAAATGATTTGTTATGACATCCGCCTAATTTATTTTTACAAATTTTCGCAATTACCCGTTTAGTGAACGATGACGCATCTAATTTTTTAGATCGGTTTTATCGAAAAATTACAAGAGGTAAAAAAGTTGCGCAATAAATCAGTCTTCCCAATAAATATTTTTAAGTAAATAATTCGCCTCATATAAGAAATTTCTAATAAAATATTGCAATGGGGTTGACTGTTTCACTCCTTTATAAAATACGCCAATGATCGAAAAAATATTGAAAAGTTGTCTCTATTAGTAGGATGCTCATACCAAGTTTCGTGTCTCTAGCATTTGTTAAAGAAAAAAAATAAAAATGTGAATTTCAATCCCCTCCTTTAAGAGGATATATCGCCTCAGGGGTGCAACTTTCATATAAGGTATTTTTACTTCAATCCTCTTATTTTTGGCCCTACAGTCACTGGTACCATTTTTGCTACTTCATTTAAAAACATCCTGTATACATTACGTAGGTTTCTCACGAATGGTCAAGTGCAACATACATTATGCAAATTGTCGCATTATGCCTTCAAGGTATGGAAAGGCAACGAATACGCTTCAAGTGAGGTCGTACCTCACACTGGCCAGAAACTTCTGCTCAGGTTATAGAACTGCAGGATCTTAGGGTGGACGTTCGATCACGCTTCATGGTGGCTTCCGGTGGCTGTTCGTTCGCTTTAGATCCTGATATCTCGGGATTTGAGCAATTCATGTCTGTTGACTTCCCTGTCTTGGAATCGGTTGTTGTTATAGATTTATGTAAGACAACTCGGTCTCGTGTCCCAGTCCGAATTTGTTAACATTTTTACGCAACAATTCGAGACTAGGATGAAATTTTAGATGTCAGTTCGATGCTTTGCACACGGCTTCATAAGTTAGATTCCAAAGTTCAATGAAATTTGAAATAACACTTGGGATCCAGAATGCGACTAACAATTTTTAGTTTTAGTTGCAGACATGGGAAATGGGTAGCTACTTTAATGTTTATATTTAAAATTTAACAAAATGGGTTAATATTTTGTATTAAATTATTTTTAATTGTTAATGCTAATTAACCATTCCATATATTTAATTATGGTAGGTTTATCGACTGTAGTCGACATTAAAACTGTTGTAGCTGCGGTATGAAAAAAAAAAACAACTAAAAACATGGTCAAAAGTATAAGTTTATTACATTACAATAACTTACAGTCGGCATCGAATACCATTTCCACTACTTCGAAGCAGTTCTATAATTTTCTTGAGTATCATATTTATTCGTAATTTAAAATAGTTCTTTGCCGTATTCGACTTGTAGAATTCGAGTATTTTTCGATGAGAATATCATATTTGCGTTGATTCTAGTGTCCAAAAATTTGTACGGTATATCGGAAACCGTTGCCCCATCTAGATTCAAGTTTGATTTTCACGTATTGCCTTCCGATTCCGCCCGACTCTATAGTGGCCCTCGCTGTGTTTCCATCATAGAATTTGTTGTAAACCCTCAATGCGGAAATGGTCTCGTGCCGGGAATATCCCGCAGGGAGGTCCTTCGGATATTCGATGATTTTCTCACGGTAGGTCCACCAGCGCCTCGACTTGAAATACTCCTAAAACAGAAGCGCATCGTGAAAACCGTTACGAAACAATAAAATTATTGGTAAGTTATTTAAGTACAGATTATTAACATTAAATTTAGTGTAAGAGTTCTGTTTATTCGACGTGAATACATACGGGGTGTTTTGCTTAGGGATTGATCACTCCTGCAATATTTTTATTTAATGAATCATTTTAACAAACTTTTTTAATTTTCTAATTCAAAAAATCGTTAAAAAAAGTCGATAATGGAACACCCCGTATATTATTGCAATTTTGGATTATACGTCAATTTTTAGGTGAACTTTCATAAAGGTTTCCTATTCTTAAAGTTAACCGTTTTTGATATATTTAATTTTTTTCAAAAAAAAAAAATTAAAAAAGCACTGCCTAATTAAAAAATATACAGGGTAGCCCATCGAAAACGTACCGCAAGGCATTACAGGGTAGTAAAGAACTTTTCGGCAAAATCCAAAAACAGGTCAAATTTGTTTCTGAGGGGAGCAACTTTAGGCTCAAAAAGCATACCAAAATCTTCAACCCCCTAAGTGGGGGTGCTATCCACTAAATTTTTTCAAATGGGAATGGGGTTCAAGTGGGGGGTCATTAGAAAGGGCTTTTAATTCTCTATACATCGATTCTTACTTTTTGAAAATCGATTCATTATTTTAGAAAATATGCAGCTTTGAAAATACGAACAATATTTTTGACGAGAAATGCGAAAATCGATTTAATTTTACTTCAAAACTTACGGTATTAGTCAAGTAAATGCTGAAAATGTTGTCCGCCAACTTGCATACAATGATACAGGTTGTCTTCAAACCGTTGTCGAACATTCTGGAGCACTTGCGGTGTTACTTCGCGACATACATTAATGATTCGTCCTCGCAGATCTTCCAAGGTATCAGGTGGAGTGCTGTAAACTTTGCTTTTAATGTGCCCCCAGAGAAAGAAATCTAAAGGATTTAAGTCGGGTGACCGAGGGGGCCACTCAATTGCACCTCTTCGTCCTATCCAGCGTCCTGGAAACGTCTCATTTAGGTAATTGCGCACATTGAGCGAGTAATGTGGAGGAGCTCCGTCTTGCTGGAAAATCAGTTCGTGTTCATTGTAAGCAGGGTCGTCCTCTATGATATTTGTTAGAGCTGGGTCGATGACATTTTGTAGTAAATCCAAGTACATATCGCCTGTCAAATTTCCAGGAAGGAAAAAAGGACCTACAATGGAATTTCCAAAAATACCTGCCCATACATTCAACTTCTGGGGGTGTTGGGAGTGTGTCTCATGGAAAATCCTTGGATTGGTATCAGCCCAGTAACGACAATTATGGCGATTCACTAAACCATTCAAGAAGAACGTACACTCGTCCGAAAAACACACATTAAAGAGGAAATTATCGTTTATCGCTCGTTCAGTCATTATTTCGCAAAATTGCAAACGACGATCAAAATCGTCTTCATTTAGCTCTTGCACTAGCCGAATCTTATAAGGATGGAATTTGTATTTTTTTAATATTCGTTGGACACTTGTACGACTCACTCCTGTCGCAGTAGCCAATTGCATTGTACTCAGCGTACTATCCATTGCCACTTGCCCCAATACCGCTATTTCCGTAGGTTCATTTAGTACCGGATTTTCAACCTGCCTCTTTTTGTTATGAACGGAGCCAGTTTCGCGAAATTTGGCCACCAATTCGCGAACAATTTTTCCAGACGCATGTTTCTCAGGATGCCGTTGGTTGAACAGTTCGGCGACCCGATTTCCGCATTCATTGTTTTTGAAAAAAAGCTCAATAATTTCTACTCTTTCTGGAATTGAGTACACCATAATTAATCAATTTAAAAGACTCGGCAGTATTGGTACTCTTCAACTACAAGTCACAAGACAGTTATCTAGCAACTTCTTGTGGCCTATCTAAATACGAAACAAAAAGCGGACAATTTTTTGCTCACCAAAATCAGGCTAAAGAATTCGCAAATCAGAAAAAAAACAGCGAATTCTTTTGAAGGAATTTACCAAGCTAATACCGTAAGTTTTGAAGTAAAATTAAATCGATTTTCGCATTTCTCGTCAAAAATATTGTTCGTATTTTCAAAGCTGCATATTTTCTAAAATAATGGATCGATTTTCAAAAAGTAAGAATCGATGTATAGAGAATTATAAGCCCTTTCTAATGACCCTCCCACTTGACCTCCATTCCCATTTAAAAAAATTTGGGGGATGGCACCCTCACTTAGGGGGTTGAAGATTTTGCTATGCTTTTTGCGCCAAAAGTTGTCCCCCTCAGAAGCAAACTTTACCTGTTTTTGGATTTTGCCGAAAAGTTCATTACTACCCTGTAATGTCTTGCGTTTTCGATGGGCTACCCTGTATGTATTTTACAATAATAAAGTTAGAGCGATAAAATTTATAGGGGACATAACTAAAACTCTAAGCTTTCCTGCCATAATTTGAAAATGACTTAATTTGATACAGGGTGGTAGAAAAATGCCGATTTTAGTCAAATTTAAACCATCTTAACTTATTTTTTTAATGGAGCACCCTGCCATTGCCTGATGAACAATTTTGTTCTCTTTTGAATGGTATAATGATAATGGTTCCCTATACCTCTTCTGGTTTTTAAGGTATTTACTGTTTTTTGGGGAAGTCAACGAATATCGCATAATTTCTTGCGATGATGTCTGTGAAATTTTTAGTGGAACTTCAAAACAAGCACCTAATCTGTCACCAGTTTATTGTTGTCAATTTAACACATACAGTGAATGTTTATTTGAGTATTATTTATTGTTAAAGAATGGAAAACGTTAACATTTATTCAAATGCTGACATTATAAATTTATTATTTATTCATGGAGAGTGTCACAAAATAATAAATAGGACTTGTAGGGTATTTAATGAGATATATCCTCATTAACCACCAATGAGTAGACACATTTTACGAAGAATTTTAAGAAATCAATTAGAACATGGTCGAATTTCTGCACATAGAATTTTGCCAAAGCCTATAACTTTATAGTCCAGGAAATATAGAGTTGGACGCGACTTTTTGTTTCGGCAAGCTGAATTTATCACTATAGACGCTAAATATTATGTACAATAACATATTAGTTTCCACAGTCATAAAAATGGGGGGAATAAGTTTATAAATGTTTAATTCAAAAGTCTTAAATAAACTTCTTCTGTTTATAACTTTTAATCTAATCAATATTTTTTACGCTCGAGGACTAGTTTTGTAGGTCTTTTGAAGACGAAAAAAAGTATGTTACTGTTTTCTCGTGGAAATGAACGAAAAAAAGTTATAAGCGAAAAACATGAATTTACGTAAAAATTATACAATTAACCACCCTGTAAACAATCTTCCCCCCATTTTTATGACTGTGGAAACTAATATGTTAATGTATGTACATAATATTTAGCATCTATAGTGATAAATTCAGCTTGCCGAAACAAAAAGTCGCGAAGCTTATTTTCCTGGCCTATTTAGATGAAAGTAACATCGTCAATGATTTGGCATATTTTCATGCTTACCCTGAATCAACAGTTCGTGCTGCTGAAGATGATTTAAGCATTTCAAAAACCTCCATCCAAAAGATTTTGTAAACTAATGGTCAGCATCCATTAACATTAAAATAATGTTATTACTTTAAAATTATTTAATTGACCAGCTCATCTGTAAAGTTAGTTCTTTTTGTGCCTAGATTAGTATCAAAGAATTAAAAATTTATAGAATTAATTTTAATCAACTTAATATCTTTAACGTAAAAATTCAGAAAATTGGCAAATATTTTTTTCAGTAATAAAAATATTTCCCACATAAGTAGTCCAAACTTTTTTAACAATATTTAATTCTGAGGAAACCTTTATTTTTGTACCGTATATGTTTATATTAATTGAAATATTAAATATCTTTATTTCTTTTTTTAATTAAAATTAATTTTAAAAAATATACAATTTTATTTTTTTTTTAAATAACTAGTATTTTGTTAAATTTAATTTCATTTGAATAAACGCTTCTGTTATAACCTAATAAATAACAACCAATCGAGAGCATCACTTAAGAAATCATATCACTGTTGATAAATGTTTATTTTTTACAAATTATTATTAATTGCATATTTTTATTGTTACAGCCATTGTGGCTATTTATTACAAGAAGGCCAGGTCATATTCCTTCTTTAATGAGATGATAATACTCTGTTTAAAATCGGATCATAGGATTTATTAATGTTGACAGTAGTTTCACTGAAAAAAAATATGTTGTTTATATCTACATTATCTACGTAAGATATTTAAACATTCTCTAGATCAAATTTTTTTTAGAAAATTGTTCTAAATTTATTAATATATGTATGTAGGTATTCTATAAAATGTTATCATTTACAATATTTGATTGTACTCTTAATTCGGGTTTTAATTAAAGTATGTTAATACAAATAGAAGCTCAGCCCTAGAGCTTCGGGAAAAAAATGTTGAATAATAAATCGACAATTCATTATCATTATTTATTTTTTGTTAACTAATTTGCCAATAACTTGATAACAAAAAAAGATATCGAGCCCTTTTTGGCGTCAAAATGTAGCTATTTTTATGCTCTTCAAACTAAACTATAAAAAGTTTTATCCTGCTATTTCACTTTTTTAACAGAACGTGAAACCTAAACTTGGATAAATAGTGCCAATAAATAAATAACACTCGCTAGAAATTTCAAACTTATACTATATTCATCATTTTTTTGTTCTGAACTCATTTATGTAAAGAAAACTATAGCAGTGCATTTAAAATTTTTGAGAAAAATCCATAAAACGTCATTCTTTTGAAATAACGCCATCTATAGGTTTCCATATTGAGGTGAATGACATTACGCATTCACCACGAGCTAAAGCATGAAAAGACCTTTCCAACGAGATATAACACTATGAGCCAATCCTTAAAAAAATGCATTTCGCTGATCAGACATTAGGGGCTTCCCTTTCTGTCGAGAAATAGAACAAAATTTCAGTAACAAAAGTTATACGCAATGAATCCTGCTATCCATATTTTTACTATTTAATATACCTGAATCGGCAACATTTCTGAGAAAAATTTTACTATGTTTTGGTATGTAGGTATGTAGACTGCGCCCCCTTAAAAACTATTTCCAGCGATTTCTCTTGGTCGATTTATTAATCAATTTTTTCCGATGTTCTAGGAGTCTATATTTTCCCTAATCGCCAACTTTAGTGGGACACCCTGTAGTTTTCAAATATATTCAACGTAGCAAAAAAAATCATGTAATGTTCTAATTAAGTTTGATTATAACTCCTTTAGCAGTCATAATAAATAATTAAATATTTAATTAAAATTAAAATACTTGAAACGGACAGGAAAATCTGAGCAAATCAATGTCTGTAGCTTCTGAATATACACAGCTGTAGAAAATAGTTTCAAATCTAAACTGCTTATAGTCTTTTATAACAAGAGTTTTATTAGTTTCCATTTTTTAAGTTTTAGGTTGGACAACTTTTTTCGTCCACGATTGTATAACAAATTATCTATACAACATTAAAAATTATTTACTCACTTGATTAAACAGCAATCTGTCGTACGGTTGGATTTGTCCAATGATCAAATGGCCATCTTTGGTGATATTGTAAGAACTGTTCTCCTTCGAATAGTTGTAGTACGATGATGGTTTTTGATTATATTGAGGCAATATTGGTACGTGACTGTTGTTGTTAACCGTGTAGTTTGTAGCTAGATGTGTCCCATTAATGGTAGGAATCAATATCTGAGCCGGCACATAATGAATTTGACAATCGAAACCGCCAAACACTGTAAAAAGTATGACTATCAAAACGTTCGACACCCTCATCTTCGTTAGGTCTAGAGTGACTGGTTTTTTTAATACCATTTTCAGTTTTATATACTTTTAGAAGTTTGTTTATTGTGAAATGTGAGATGCGAGATAAGTAAGTCAAATATTGTTTCTAACGTCACATCGGTGTTTTTTTTTACATACTTGCCTCATCAAAGACAATATTTGAATGAGACCACGAGCCACGATGCATCAATCGCTAATTTTGTGTTTTTAATCGGGAAGGAAAATGTGTACATTTTATTTTAATTTTTAAGAATATTCCATCCATTCCAGTGGGGAAATTTATCTCGAATACAGTCGCTCTAGAAAAGTACTAAACACGTTATAACGTTTAAAAGCAAACATTGTATGCAAGTAATAGAATACGTATAAGTGCCGGGCTACGCACTTCTATTCCTCAAATGATGTTGCAGAAATAAGATCTTTGTAGAGATGATTTCACTTGAGTCACTTGGATGTCCCGGACTTTCCATAATGAAAAGTTTACGACTGTTAAATCAGGCCGTTCTCATTTGGAGCTGGAAATAGAAATTGCAAACATAAAGTTATTTTTCTAGTGGGAAATGACACGAAATATAAAATGGTAGGATAAGCTACATTGTATTCCAGTTCCTTAATTTGTATTTTATTTTTTTTTATGAAAATAAAATCATTTTTATGGGTAGGTACGTGATTTTTATACAGAGTGTTACAAATTAGTAAATAATGGGACTTTTCTTATGTCACTTTTCATTTCGAAGCCCCATTTTCAAAATACAGGATGCCAAAATTAAAATTTAAAAAATGATTTTTATTGATAACTGCGCTGATTGTAAAGATATTTATTTGAAATTTAACACATATTTTGATCTTAACTCGGCACATTCTTTGTGTAATTTTGGTTTAAAATATCAAAGCGTGAACGGAGCGGGAGGGGGATTGCAGTATACCCATGGGCTCCTATACAGTCTGTTACAAATTCGCTTCGCACTACAGGGATCTCGAAAATCGTAAGAGATACAAACTGGCTTAAATGGGGGCAAAGTTGCGTAATCAGGGGACGAACATTATACCTCTAAAAAATCAAGGCTAACATGATCAGTTTTCGAAATATTTGAAAAAAAGGGAAATTTTGGATATCCGTTTTTGTTTCATTTCAGCCTTGTTTGAGGTAATATTGAAAAAATAACACTTTCTCATAGGCACTTTTTCCCCTCTATCGAATGGCATACACATGTTTTGTATGTAACGTTTCGTCTCTCCAGGACCATCATCAACTTCATTTTTTTAAATACGACCCTAGAAATTTTATTACATTTTTTGCAAGCCTTCATGACTCCCAATACTGTACTGCCTCAGACCGAATTAGATTCAGACGTTTTGTCTCGAAAAATTCATCTTCAGTGTATTCATTCCAAATTTATCTAAATTTTTTATTTAGATTTCTTTGTTTATTGAATTACGTACACTGTTAGTGTCGTTAGACCCTGTGAAATCCATCTAGTTATTTAAACTATTAGACTAAATTGATGTCGCTTATCCAAAAAAGTTACAATACCTCGTAAACGAGATCACAAATAAAAATCTTACAAGAGTGAAAAAAATAGAAAATGACGCTTTATTAAAAAAAAATATTCGGAAAGCATAGGCATAATCAAATAAAAAATAGGAGGTCCATGGGTACTTCAACCTCCATCCCCTCCATTCGCGCTTTGATATTTTAAACAAAAATTACACAAAGAGTGTGCCGACATGAGATCAAAATAGGTATGTGCTAAATTTCAAATAAATATCTCTACAATCACCGGAGTTATCAATAAATATATATATTTTTTAATATTGACACCCTGGATTTTGAAAATGGAGCTCCGAAATGAAAAGTGGTATAAGAAAAGTCACATTATTTAGTCCAAAGAATATGTGGTTAACTGCTCGACCTATTAATTTGTAGCACCCTGTATATTGGGTTTATAGAAGTATTAAAACGCTTTTTAATGTAAACTATAACCTCAAGAACTGTGGAAAAACCGACATTATCAGTTTATCTATTTAATGAGAACAATACTAAAATACTTAATAACATCTACAGGGTGTCCCTGAAAAGGATGGACAACGCTTGACCACAGGTTCCTTGGATGAAAATAAAACTATTGAGCCTAACTTACCTATATACAAAAGTGCACGCCTACTAAATATAGAATAGATAACCTAGTTTTTTCAAATAATTTGAAAACATATACAGGATGTTCTCTTTCTAGTGTCTCTGCGCCACTGGTTATCCCGTAACTTTTTTGTGTGTGCGCCAGTGACGCCAGAATTTATATTTTTAAAAATAAGCACTATTTGGGAAGATTTTGTACCTCTTACGAAATGTTGATGTCTTTGAAAAAACTTCACATTAAAAATGGTCTTAGTACCATCAATCAATAAAATAAAAAATCAACATTAGTAATTTAAATAAACAATATCAACTAATAATATAACAAAGTCAACATCAATATTTTAAATAAACCTTAATTGATATTTGTAATCGCATTAAAATAATATTACAATTAATGCTCAAAGTGACCTTATTCTTGAACCCAAGAATTAATTCTGCTTAGGAAATTAAAATGAATTTTATCTAATAATTGTACATTACCTCTCATAACATTAATTTCATTTTGTATTCTTTCGCATAATTCGTTTTCTGTATTTACTGAAAAGCTATAAACTGTGATCCTCAACGCTCCCCAAAGCAAATAATTACACGGGTTTAAGTCCAGGGATCGAGGTGGCCATTTTTTATTATTTTCTCTACCTATCCACCTGTTAGGATAGTGCTCATCTAAGTATTGCCTTACCGATAAGACAAAATGGGGGGTGCCCCATCATGCATGAAAATGGTATTCATTCGTAGTGTTATCGGTAACTCTTCAGGCAGATAGGTAATCTCGTTTGGAGAAATTCTAAATAAATTTTGCGTTCAATGTAGTAGGTAATATAACAGGACCAATTAAAATACTGCCAATAATACCAGCGCAAATATTAATCTTTAATTCATGTTGAAACCGTATTTTATTGATTCCATGTGGATTTTCATCACAATAAACATGTTCATATGTGAATTAAAAACACAACACAGAAATGAGACAACCCCCAAATCCAAAAGCCAAAGGCTTGTGCGCAAGGGGGCTACACTTGAAAAAACGCGGACAAACACCCATTATCCATCGACATTGCCAGTGCCGACACCGGGGATCGAACCCGGACCAGAGTAGGAAGCCTAGCCGAGAAATGCTTGCCACCGCACTCTCGACCGACTGCGCTACCGTGGCGATAATTAAAAATACCCCTTCTAATAAAAGCGGTTTCGTCTGTAAACAGGATTTTCTTGTGGATATTATTATCGTCTCTATTTCTGAGTTCCTGAATACTTTGTCTAAAAGCAAAACGTGACGGAGGATCTATTGGTAGGTAAAAGTTCTTGGACTGATTATTGAATAACTTGTCTTTTAATACTCTATTAACGGAACTTTTTAAAAGCCAACCTCTGCCGCTAAACCCCTTGTACTTTCTTGCGGAATTTCTTCGACCCTTTCCAAAATTTGTTCCTCCAACTGAATGGTTCTAGCCGTACGTTGACCACGATTTAATGTTACATGTAAAAAACGTCCTGTTTCCCGAAGGCGTCTCTCCACATTAGCAAATGTTTTGTGATTTGAAATTCTTCAACTTGGAAATCTTTTAGCATATGTTCGAACACTAGCACAACAATTTCCTTCACAATAACCCAAAACTAGTAACTTATCAGTTTGTTCAGCAAAAGTATAAATTGCAACCGTAGTAAAGAATATATTAAAAAACAGAGCAAACTAAAATTAAATGACACCTAGCTTGATACTAAACCTTTTAATAATTGTTATGAATTTGTTTCTTTGTTATTTGGCACCACTGGTACATACCTCATACTAGACTGATCTATTTTAAACTGATTTTATATTATTTAATGTGTAAAATAGGCTAATTTTACTCGAAATCCATAAACGATATCAAAATTTTGTAAGAGGTAAAAAATCTTCTAAAATAGTGCTTATTTTTAAAAATATAAATTCTGACGGCACTGGCGTACACAAAAAAAAGTTACGGGATAGCCAGTGGCACACAGGCACTGGAAAGAGAACATCCTTTGTACGTATTCTCACAAAATTCTATATTTACATTGCCTAAATATAAAAAAAAATATATGTACCAAATTTGAAGTTTCCAAGAAAAACTGTTTTCAAATTATTTGAAAAAAACTAGGTTATCAGTTCTATATTTAGAAGGCTATATCTCAGTAGGCGTGCACTTTTGTGTATAGGTAAGTTAGGTTAAATAGTCTTATTTTCATTTAAGGAACCTGTGGTCAAGCATTGTCCGTCCTTTTCAGGGACACCCTGTATATTTTAGCTTGTAAATTTTCAGAACTCCAATCAAATTCTTAGAAAACCAGTTTATTACATCTTGTATGTTAGACTGAAACTTATTTTATAAAAGTCTTTTTATTATTTTTCTGAAAATTGTATTCTTATTTTATATACTTACAACTTTCACAGAAATGTATTTACCTAGATGTTAAAAATAGTACAACTATTTATAATAACAAAAGAAATGGAATGTTTTTTGATGCCTATACACTACATTTAATTTGTTGGTTGTCTGCAAAATCTTGTAAACAAATCTGATTTATTTTTATTACTGCCGTATTGTGTTGTGTGAATAATTGTTAATGTTTTTGATTTGCTTGAGAATTTGTGAAAAATACTGGTTTGCTTAGTAGTAATAATCTGTTCTCAATTAAATATTTAGCCACTAACATAAGTAAAATAAACACAAAAAATATAATTTCCCATTTTAATTTTTCTTAACAGATGACTCACGATGTTTTTTTTTCTGGATGTGTGTGTATTATCTTGAAAACAATGGCACATTTATGTATAATTACGGATTATAATTACATGAGAAAGTAAATAATATTCCTTCCTGAGAATTGAAATG